GATTAAAATATCATTTTTCGTTCCGTATCGAGTACTCGATTTACATATGGAACATTTACGACATGTTTCGGCTATCATAGAGCCGTCATCAGGTGTTATGTTATAAACTTTTTAACTGAATTACTGATTTTTAATGCTTTTTAGTTTTCATTTTTCTTATCATTTTAATGATATTTTAATCTTTTAATTATCTTATATTGTGATTGACGGCCAATTTTAATATATTTTTAATACTATTTAAATAAATCACAATATGACGCACCTACAATATCTTATAAAACTCTTAATATGAATTTTATTACAGAATTTTTATCACATCAAATATCATGTTTGTTAAAAACGTACCGTTACAGAAATGGGCACATTCCAAGTCAAACACACGATTTCGTTTATACGGAACAAGTCTGCAGTAGATTTGTGTAACTGGTCACAGTAGCGGACCCATTTTATGACGTATACAACATCGCGTGTTCCTCGCTTTGTTATGAAAATTGCTGGAGACATGTCTTAACCACAACGGTTCGCCATAGCGTGTCGGCTTTTCTGTAGGAACGTCATTTCGCTAGAAGGTACGCCAACATTGCATCGCGCTGATACCGTAAATAAGGGAAATATAGAATGTCCCTCAGTACTCACTCGCCTGGTAAAGAAATTTCCCGCCATTTGCGAAACGTGACTGTAACGTGCTCATAGCTGATGTCTCGCTACGAGACATCAGCTACACTGATTTGACGAGCTTTAAGGTTATCACGGCGGTGAATACGTAAATGTGTTGTTGAAACATGTAGCCTGGTAGACACATACGTTTCTGTACTCTGATGATTGAGGCAGCAAGGACCTCTGAAACGCTGGTAAACTTCTACTGAACTACACGGCGCGACAATCCAGAAGACAGCCATCTTCCTAGACGGAGGTAAGTTGATTTGATTGTTTTAACTATTATCAGGAAAACTATGTAGTGCTTAGCGGTGAGTGATGCATTTCGAGCCACGAACTGACATTTGCGTTAAACTTTATAAATGCACGCACTATACTTCCGTTCTCCTAAACATTCATCTACAAAACAACAGGTAAAATGATGTTATGTTAATGATAATCTGATATAAGGTTTAGTGTAGACCATGGTTAAATTCGTATATAAATTTTGTTTCTTTAATTTTAATGTGAGAATTATTACGGTTTGGATAACATGAATTTGAAATGAATCTTTTTTTCTTCGAAGTCCGATCGAAGGAAGTCCTGCACCTTCGCACATACAGATGAACTGACAGATGCGACAAACCAAGCAGGCAGTTCGATAATGACCCAAGTGTTGATCAACAAAAGAAAATTGATGGGATGGGAACTGAATAAATTCTACGAAATGAAATAAATAGGAACACGTTATTTTTATTCTTGATATTCTATGGTACCAGGAAAATATTTCGAAATTGTTGCAAGTAAATTGAAATACAGCGTTGTATTTTATTTTTCATTTTTAATTTATTTAAATTACGTGTAGCACAAATTTAGAGTCACAATAGAATACTGTCCTTTCCATGTCGTGTCTTTGAATACAGACACTAAAATTGAATTTTTCGTGTTATGTGTCAAAGAAATGGAAAGTCAGCTATATATATATATATATATTTTTTTTTTTTTTTTTTGACCGTTGACCAATAATGACTGTCCACAGCGAGGAATCCAGCAAACTAGATACTTTCATTAGGATGATAATAATACAGCTTACTGTTGAGCAGTTATCCTTTGAAGAGTAAAATATACGATACGTTCCGAAAGGCACACAATGCGAAATTTAAAGGTAAATATTTTGTTTGTGGTTTAGGGATATTTCAATTTACCGTTCCCAGTGGTAACACTGGACTCCTGTCACCCCCAACCAGTCGTAGGTTTGACGTAGTTTCTCCTTATTCTTTGCTCTTTAGTCAGTTGTTTGTCACTGCTGTGTGCGTTTGTTGTTAGGAATTATTTTCGAACGAAGTTCTGTGAAACAGTTGAACGGGTATGTTACGCGAACTTTCCTGTTGTTGTTTTTACCGAAGAAGTCAACCGTTTCTCCACTTGAAAACAAACGGCGCTACTGTTCGCAGAGTTGAAATGGGTTAAGGTATGTCTAAACAAATTGATTAACACTCTTAACACGCGTAAATGTACTTTTATAACCTTAACAAACAACTGTGATATGTCTTTTTGTATAATAATCATGACATTAAACTTTGGCTTGCGTTAATTTTGGGACAGATTCAAATAGGACGTAACGTAATGGATTCCACTTCTGCTTCGCATTTAAGATAAACGGGGCTTGAATCTTGGCCACAATACTGACTGTTCTGAATATTTATTTTCGTGTTTTTTTTGGTAAACTTGGCCAGATTTTATCTCAGCACTACAGTGACATTTTTTCATAGATAGAATTATACACCACAGACATGTGCCAATGTAAACTCTCGTAAAATGCAGTGAAACTTACGAAGATTAGATGCTACGAGACCATATATTTTGTTTCCGTTACATAAAGATTCAAACAATATTCACCATTTGAAATCTGTAACGTTTAATTCTTTGTATAACACGATAAAATAAACATTGGGTAACAATTCTGAAGCGCTCGCTAGCATCTGACCTTTGACATTTGTGAATGACCAGGTTAATTCTCCTCTCAGTCACGTCTGACTACAGGAACGCGGTTAGGTTTTCATATAAAATTTCCCCGGTATTTTGACCAGTATTGACAAATATAATACAACTCCCCTGTGCCTAATTTCATGAAAATCCGTTCAGTCGATCTCGAATTGTTTCATGCGTACCATTATCATATTTTTATATATTTTGTTAGAGTTTTCGTTTACCTTTTAATAAAAATAATTCGTAAGAATTCAACTTTCAGTAGCCAACAGACGGGTGTACAGACAGAGGAGACCCTCTGATTCTAAGATAAAATGCAGCCTTGGGCTTGACGTTTTGATCGCCTCGATACAGCGCAGACAGACAAAGTCTGTTTCTTCCATGCCCTTGACATCTGTCGTAGAAATACGCGTGTGGACAGCATAAAAGCTATCTCTATCACTCGGTGGACGTGAATAGACCATACTTTCCGCAAGATATCTCCGAGCTTCGTTGACCAATACAACTCACATATTGGCGGCCAGACGTCTTGTTCCATCCTTACTGATTCTATCTTCAATTACCCTTTTACTCTGACGTTGCTCAGGCTTGCAGATATTTTGCGTCAAGTGACCAGATATTTTATAAACCTCCTTCCGCCTTGAAACTGGTTACTTTTCATTTGGCTTTTTAAAACTATAACAACTGTATGTGACGTACAGCGGTCAGATTTTAGGTTTTGGTCTCCATCTTCTGGGTAGACGGCAGCATATTCCTGCTTTGCAACTAACGGGACTTCTCGATGTCATAATGAAAATATCAGAATCTAAACTGAGTGATCACTCCAGAGTTTTGAATCCTCGTGTAGTTAGATTGACTTTATTTACGTGTATAACTTTTCTTTTACTATTCCGTCAGCCTTTGTTTTTGTTTAATTTTTATTAGCCGGAGGATAATCGTAAACATGTGGCTTCGGTAACAAGCGATACGTATGTAATCGGATCTTTACTACACGGATACTTGTATCGGGACGTGCCTTCGGTTTTGAGAATACGAATAAGTGACTAACGCACAGTGGGATCGTGTGAACTGACTCTGTAAGATTTGAGGTTAGATAATACATCAGTATGTAGGGGTTAATAACATGGCTACTCGCTCACTCGCCAAGCGACTTAAATTCGAAAGCTTGGAGCAGAAACTAACCGTAGTAATTTAACGGGCCATAAACTCAATGTATGTTCTGAAGCATGCGAGAAAATATATGGTAATTGTGAATGAATGTAAATTGACTTGTGAAATTTATATTATAACATGTAATAGGCTTAAATAATAGTACGCGTAACATGAAAATACAGGTAGTCTAATTCTTCTCAACACTAAAATTTACGACTAGATTTTGGAGTGATTTATTATTTGTTTTATTATAGTGTTCCAAAAATTTAATTTTAGTGTTTAGTTGCAAAAATAATTGATCTTCCAGGAGAATTATCATTTAATTCAACCCTTAACAGCCCAGTGGTAACAACATATATCACCTGCTTTAAAAATCTTTTACACTGCCCACAGTGTAATTTTTTTCGTATGAGAAGAACGTTGTGATTTCTTTGCGATAGGAATTTTAAGTGCATACAACCTTTGAAAATGAAATTTATCTTTTAACAGCTCAAGACGTTCTGGCTTCCAGTGTCAATGCCCTAATGTAATGCGATTATTTTTATTGCCAACATTGAACATAAAATATTATAATAACCTGGTAATTAAAGTTACTCATATACAGTGCTGCTAACTTAAAAGCAGTGATTTCCAAAATCCTATTTAGCGAAAGTCGTAAGGCAGAGATAAAGAAAAAATAGATTTTGCTGTTATTCAAGTAGAGAATGAGAACTGAATATTTATTTATAGTTTATTAAACGACGCTTTGTCAGTTACCCAGACTATATAGTGTCGAATGAGATGATGTTAGTGGATAGTGATTGATAGGGATTTGGTAGGAAAAAATCATCTGTCAGGAAAGCCGGTGTCCGGGCCGTGATTCGAACCTGGGACTAACGAGAACTGAAGAAAACTGTCATGCAGGCTGAAGACGTGATATATTTGTTAGGAGGAAATTAAATATCTGGAGACTTGGACGAGTAGAATCAATTACTACTGTCTCATATTCTCTACCGACGTCAATATTATGCCTTTTGCATGATATCGGAAATATATTTCGGTTGCTTGATACATTCACAGTGTTTGGCGGTCTGATAATACATAAATGCTTACGAAAGTTTTGTAGGAAATCGAAAATTAAAGAGACTGGTTTCGAAACCTATGCGTAGATAGGCAATAATATTAAAATGGATTGTAGGAAAATGGGATTAGGGTGTGGACTGAATTCATCTAGTTCAGAATACGGGACCATCGGCGGGTTCATTTCAACACGGTAATAACAGACGAGGAAATTCTTGACCATCTAAGCGACCATTAGAATCTGAAGATCATCTTTCTTCTATTAACGTAGTTAAAAGTCTCTACACATGTAACCAGTGCATATGAATTTACTTTAAAACCATTAAAGGTCGCTACCGCATGGTTTTTAAATTCATCGCTTCACGGAAGTTTCCCTCGTAAATTGATTTACACAAATCCCGATCTAAAATTATTATGCGTCTTTTCCTGTGGACAGGTAAGAGATGGCAGTACCTTAAAATATATGACAGTTTCCTTTCTTATTCTTCCAAACTCGTCAATGCTAATCGTGATATTTTCCTGTCGAAGCTCTGTAAGCTATACAGTTGGCATAGCGTCGTTAAATTAATAACAACAAATCAGTCTAATGAATGTGACTGTCTTTTATAATGTTGCACCTTGTAGTCTGGTAGAATTTATAAGATGGCTGTCTTTTGGGTTGTCTCCATCATTAGGGCTATTGCTCTGAAGATGGAGGCAATAAGGACCTCTGAAATCTCACCAGTCCAATAAAAACAGCTTCAACGTAAATATTCTTCTTCGGCTTTAAACTTTACAACCTGTACTTTCCCCTAAGTTTAAACCTCAGTAAGCTTTTATCTTGTACTCTTTGTTTGTTTACGGAGTTAAAACAGTTTATTGTAAATTCGAATGTCCTTCACTTCTCTCAGGACACTACATTCATCTTGTTTGCTTCCAGTCTAAGCCGACTTAGGCAGCTTTAGAAAGCCATGTCCGAGACGCCTCTTCCACTCTTCGGAGGCAAAATGGATTTAACGAGCTTTGGCATAAGAATAAATATCTTTCATAAAACATCGATTGACAGGTTACTTAATGGCTGGCAGCGAAGTGGTGATGATGTGACAGGAAATAGCAACGTAGAGTGAATAATGATAGTCTACTGTAAGCCCAGCCTTCTTATAACTCCGTATAATAAAGCGTCTGAGAGTCTGAGGCTGCTTATTCTGCGCAGACGCAGTGGTCGCTTTTAAAGATGGCGGAGATATGCGTTATGGCTCGAA